AAAAAGGGAACAGAGTCTTGCGACCACGAGAATGGCAGGATCAATTTTAGATGGTTAAGTTCATTGGGTGGGAGCAAAATATTAAGTGCAAGTGACTTCTGGGGATTTATTTGTTGGCCCGAGAGCATCCCAAACCTATCAAGTAGCTGAAGAAGAGTAGGTGTGGATGTTAAGGGGGAGGTGAGAAAAAGTAAGACATCATCTGCAAATAAGCACAGTTTATGTGTGGTGCCTCCTATCTCAAGTCCGCGGATATCCGGGTCAGTCCTAATCAATAGGGCCAGCGGTTCTATAGCTAATGCGAAAAGCAGAGGGGATAGGGGACAACCTTGTCTGGTGCCACGCATAATTGGGAAATGAGCAGATCGATGCCCTAAGTATTTGATCCTGGCCGAAGGGCCCTGGTAGAGAGAAAAGATCCAGGTTAAGAAATGCGGGCCAAAACCCCATCGGCGCAATATATAGTGTAGGTATGGCCACGAGACAGTGTCGAAACGCTTTCCATATGTCCAAGGACAAGAAGCAAGCAGGAATATTGCGAGTTTTGGCTAAGTGTGCTAAAAGGGATGCACGTCTGACGTTGTCCCCCGCTTGTCGGGTTGGTATGAAGCCGACCTGATCATTGTGGATTAGGGATCCAATACATGTATTGAGGCGAGTAGATAGAATTTTAGCTAGGAGTTTAACATCTACGTTAAGAAGGGAGATTGGTCTATAATTGGACCATTGCGTGTCATCTGAGTTCGGCTTGGGTATCATAGAAATGTTGGCTTGCACTGTATCTGAGTTAAAGGTATGGCCTGAAAGTATGGCATTAAACGCATTAGTTATAACAGGCGTGAGAATGGGGGCAAACTTTTTATAATACGTGGCAGAAAAGCCGTCGGGTCCTGGGCGTTTCCGGGGCTTTAGGGAATTGATAGCATTTAAGGTTTCAATTACTGAGATAGGTCGCTCCAGTGCTCCTAAGTGAGTCTCAGCCAATTTCGGGAAAGGAAGGGAAGCAAAAAGGGCTTCAGCATGGGAAGAGTCAAAGGGCGTGGAGGCAGAGTAAAGGCGCGAGAGATGCTTGTGGAAGGTGTGCAGAATCCGTTCGGGGTTGCTAGAGAGATTCTCAGTTGAGGTCCGTAACCGTATGGGTCTAACAGTTTGGTCTAGTTTACGGAGAGAGAGAGCAAGGAAAGTGCCAGGTTTATTGGCTTTAGTGTAGAATTTGTGTCGAGATCTGCGGATGGAGAGCTCGGCTTGGTCAGTGAGGAAAAGATCCAGGCTAGGCGGGAGTGCTCGAGAGCTTCTTTGTTAGCAGGGGTGGGGGAAGTTTGGAAGGCGGCATGGGATTGTTCATAAGCTTGTTCAAGGAGGAGGCGTTTCTGCCTCCTCACTCTACTCAGGAAGGAGGCTTTGCTGTTACAGAGTCCGCGAAGTACCGGTTTGTGTGCTTCCCATAGTAGAAGGGGGGAGAGATCAGGGGTTTGATTTAAGGAGAGATAGTCCTTAAGCGCAGCTGCTATCTCTGAGCAATAAACTGGGTCAGCCAGCAGGTTTTCGTTAATGATCCAGGAGGGATCGGGGGGAGCTGGGGCCAAAGAAGCAATGGTAGTGACCACCGCACAGTGATCCGACCAAGGGATCGGTAGGATATCAGAAGCTAAGATGCGGGGGGAAGAACTGGCGGTCAAAAAAATATGATCTATTCTCGAAAAAACCTTATGTGGGTGGGAGTAAAAAGTATACTGGCGTTTAGTGGGATTGAGTTCCCTCCAGGAATCGACCAATGAGTAATGTTGCAGTATGGATTGGAAGGAGTGGTTGGGGGTGCGCGGAGAAGGTGATTGTGGGGATTTATCTAAGAAGGGGTATATTATATGGTTAGAGTCTCCACAGAGTATGAGCGTGCCTCGCTTATGATGATCTATAACCGAGAAGAGGTGGGAAAGGAACGGCAGAGGACCCTGGTTCAGAGCGTAATACGTGGCTATGGTGACCTCAAAGTCCACCAACTGCCCAACCAGTATGATATAACGACCCTCAGGATCCTTAATCTCAGTTTGTAACTTAAAAGGAGTTGTACGGTGGAGGGCGACTAAAACCCCTCTACACTTAGTGGCAGCAGAGGCCGCGTAGACCTGTGGGTAACGAGGGCCAAAGAATTTGGGAATAGAGGTAGGAGTGAAGTGTGTTTCCTGAAGACAGGCTATATGCGCATTATGCGACGCAAATGAGCGGAATGCTTTGTTGCGCTTCTGCGGGACGTTAAGACCCTGAACATTCAGGGTGAGAATATTCAAGGAACCCATGGGTATAGCAAACAATGGGTAAGCGGACAGTGAGGTACCATCACGAGGAATGTTATGTCAATTTGGCGCCGGGAGGGTATGCGGTTACTCGAGCTAAGCTTTAACGTGCAGTCGTATGCGAGAGCAAGGGTGGGGATGGGGGGAGGGGAGGGTATTCTATGATAGAGACTGAAGGACATAAGAACCCCCCCAAGAAAGAGGGAAAAAAAAAAAACAAAAAAGAAAAAAACAACAAAAAAACAACGGTCCCCGGGAGCACCCAAAACCTGGTGGCCCGGGGAACAGATGTAGCCCAGGTGGTGTAAAAAAATGGAACACCAAGGGGGCTAGTGGTGAGTGCGCAGAAACACAGGCGGCTAGGAAGACAGCATGTAGACAAAGGCATATTTAAGTGATCCTGGTAGGAAGAAAGCATCAAAACCAACAAGCAAAAAGCCCGCAGAGCCCCGGCGCCGGTGGCCCCGGTCAACCTGGTCCGGCCCCAGAGAGGTCGGAGCCAAACCAACCGAAACGCCGGAACCGAGGGTCCGCCAGGCGAGGTAAAGATGCAACAGCAGTCCAAACATGGCGAACATCAAACCAAACAATAGACCAATATGATTCCCAACCCGAGCAGCATGTATCCGGTGCTGATCAGGCTTAGGTAAAAAAAACACAAAACACAAAAAACAACTGAAGCACAACAGACCAGTATAAGGATACAAAGTTGCAACGACGGCAGTCAGGTAGACAGTCAATTGACTAAACCCTGTGGGTGGCGACTGTGTGGGTGGTAACGGACCACCACATAAGGAGCAGGATTAAGGATCAAAGGTGGTCAACGGGATGCAGTCCATTGAATCTTGTGGTGAGGGAGCAGGAGAGGAAAAGCGTCCCCGCTTGTGTGCGTTTAGGTTAGGAATTCGTGACGGCTGGGATTTCTGCGGTGAGCATGATGCCGAACGCCTTCTGGAGGTCTCAATCTGTGCAGCGGGAGGGTGCAGCTGGAGGTTTCGTAGCGCGTCCTGAAGCTCGTCAGTAGTCTTGCATACGTGGTCACGGGCTTGATGGCGGAAGCGTACCGCAAAGGGAAAGCACCATTTATATGGTATACTATGCTGTTGTAGCACTAGCAAGTGCGGTTTCATAGCTCTGCGTTTGGTAATGGTAGTAGGGCAAAGGTCCTGAAACAGCTGGTAATGGTGACCTTGAAACAGAGGGACTCCGAATTGCGGGCGGCTTGTAGTAGTTGCTCCTTTGTGCGGAAAAAATGAAGTTTAGCTATGATGTCTCGCGGCGGGCCGTCAGTGCGCTTTGGAGCTAGTGCCCTGTGAACCCTATCCACCTCGAGGCGTTCTATTGGGATAGCGGGGGCGAGCTCTTGGAATAGCGCAGTAGCTGCAGATTGGACATCAATAATTGACTCGGGGAGGCCACGAATACGCACGTTGGAGCGTCTGGCCCGTTCTCAAAGTCCTCTAAGCGCGCCTGAAGTATAGCATTTTCGTCACGCAGCAGGTCTAGCTCATCCCCTTGCGTTTGGAGAGATGCATCAAAGTCGTCCACCCTCTGTTCTAGGTCCGCAGTGCGTTGCCCCAACTCACGGATTTCCCTGGACAGCTGGTTAGTTATGCGGTCTGAGGTCTGTTTCAGGGCCTTATGTAGCATTATTTCAAAGCGAGCTAGAATGTCAGGGGTAGTAAGGTCAGGCGTCAAGGCATGTTTGGGGGTCGCAGTGTCATCATCTGACTCACCCTCTGAAGAGCTTGGGCGGCTTGGCTGCTCCGTTTGCAGGACTGCAGGGTAGGATAAGGCTGGCTGGCTCTTGTGGTGCTCCGATGCGGCGGCCATCTTGGAGGAGGCACGAGCAAGGGCCTCCTTTATCGGCTTATGCGGCGGCGCCGCTTGATGTTTATTTGCCCCCCTGACCATATTGACAGATGGCCGGGGGGTTGCGCTGCCGATCGGTGCCGCTCGTGGAGCGGTGCGGGGCTGGATCATGCAGCGGTGAGGCTGTCTTCCCTGCGGCGTGGAGGAGCCTCAGGGAGACATGTCCTGTGCCGTCAGCCGCGCATGCGCACTCCCCGAGCACCATGTTTTTTAAGGTGCTCATTGTGCCATGTTCAAGATTTACCATGCCCATAGGAGCAGAAGGCAAGCTGAGAACTGTAAAAACCCAGCTACCATAGGGAGGAGTCTGACTCAAGATTCTCATTGTGCCATGTACAAGACTTGCAATGCCCATAGCAGCAGGTGAGAACTACATAACCTGGCCACCAAAAGGGAACCATCTGACTCTAGATTCTCATTGTGCCATGTTCAAGACTTTCCTTGACCACAGGAGCCGAAGGCAAGCTGAGAACTGTAAAAATCCAGCCACAATAGGGCCTCATCTGACTCAAGATTCTCATTGTGCCATGTACAAGACTTGCCATGTCCACTGGATCAGAAGGCAAGCGGAGAACTGTAAAAATCCAGCCGCTATAGGGCCTCATCTGACTCAAGTTACTCATTGTGCCATGTACAGGACTTGCCACGTCCACAGGAGCAGAAGCCAAGATGAGAACTCTATAAATCCAGCCAACCCTGAGGCACCATCTGACTCAATATTCACTTGCAGAATTGTCTCAGACCACATACACATTTATTATAGGCAGTCAGGCATTAAACTCACCCTCCTTCAAAAGGATTCTCCCCGGGAACGAAGTGAGTGCTGTCTTTGCCAACCAAGAACTTTATTCGGTGATAGAAGGACTGCAGGTTTTGCTGGGAGACAGGAGCTTGTGTCTCTTGGATGATGTCCAGGGGGTCTGGAGAACCCAGGCAGAGGGCGTTGGAGTGACAGAACTGTTGCAAGCAGCAGTCTGGATCCATGCAGTCTACTAAGCCATCTGCAATACAAAAATATAAAAGACCAGATCATTTATAGAACATTAGTAATCAGCATCAATATAACAGGAGGAAAGGAGGGAAATGTATAGAATGATCCTTAAATGCAGCTATGGCCCCCACCACTGGGGTCACCAGTAGGATTTGAGCAGTGGTACCATCCAACTGAGGAAATGGATACAACAGCTGCCTTAGAGATAAGAGAACATATTCACCAGCAGTGGAACAAACATCCATCTAGCGGACCAGAAGACTGACCTATGGTGGGGCCTGAGTTTGAAACTGCACTACTACCAGTACTCCACCAATAATGGTTGCTTGCAGTGAATGCAACAGATGGTGCTGTGCCAAAGCCAGATAAGGAAAGACATCGCCAGCACTCCAATCAACTACGTATCACTGTGACATCACCATGCTGCCTCGAATAGGGGGCTCTGCAAGGCCCTGATATTTTGGTATTCCTGGACCTATGTAATGCTGTCTTCACGTTAAAATATGTGATATGCATTTAATTAGAGTGATGGTGACTTCTTCTCCACTGACCTATGGTGGAAGTGGTTAAAAAGGTGATCTGACCTACATTTGCTGGAGCAGGACATATATCCCGGATATTTCCACTCCATGTAAATCTTTCTACATTAAATAAATTTCTTTGTGGTAGATGGACACGCCAAGAGGTGATCACATGTACCAAGTGATGGATATATACATTAAGATTTCCAAGAAAATGGATACAACCGCTGCCTTAGAAATAAGAGAACATATTCACTAGCAGTGGAACAAACATCCATCTATCAGACCAGAAGATTGACGTATGGTGGGGCCTGAGTTTGGAACTGCAATAATAACAGTACTTTGCGGGTGCTTGCAGTAAGCGCAACAGATGGTGCTGTATAAAAAACAGAAAAGGATAAACCAGACACCTGATGAAAGGGGGACTCATATGGGGACATGATGTAAGGGGGGGGGGGGGGGACTCAGATGGGGACACCTGATATAAAGAGGTCTCTGATGGGGACACCTGCTGTCAGGTGGGACCCCGACGGTGACCTTGATGTAAGGTAGGACTCTGAAGGGGACCTAGTTTGCTAAGGGGAGCTAGTTAATTATTTTTCTAGTCAGAAGGCTGAAAGCAGCCAGGAGAAATAGCCAGAGGGGTCAAGTTTGGATCAGGGCTGAGAGGCTCTACAGATGAGTTCCCTGATACCTCCCCCTGCTCTAGAGATTTGATAAAGTCTCTAGAACTCAGTGGGTGGGGGTGAGGAGGAGCTGGTCTGCACTCTTAAGGGAACCTGGCCAATCTCCAAGCAGGAGGCTTGGCATGGGGTCAGGGCAGCCATTAAGAGTGACTGAGCCTTCTCAGTAGCAGGAGAGAGTTCAGGTGGAAGATGTACTGAGCAGGATGGTGTGTGTGGAGCCTGGGAGGGGGTCCAGGAGAAGGGCCTACCCAGGGGCGGACTGACCATTTGGAAACTCTGGCACTGCCTGAGGGCCTTGGGTCAACAGGGGGCCCCATGAGATGCCCATGGTACCTTTTTCATAGGCTTTTTTGAGTTCGGGCAAGGACACAGGGGCCCCATGATCCCCTATTGCCAGGGGGCCCCATGAGTTGTCAGGCCACCCCTGGGCCTACCTACACGCAGAAGATCTTGAAGGCTGAGAAAGGACAACCTGGGAAGCAGGTAAGGAGCCAGCCCAGCATAAGACCTGAAGGCATCCACCAACTCATATGCTTGCAGGACAGAACTGAGTGAGTAATCCTGCACCCCCCATGGCCAGATAAGGGGAGAGGGCATTCTGGTGGGAAACCTGACAACTCCCCGTCTGGGACTGCTGATCTTAAGGTGGCAGCTTCTGGGTCACTTTGCCTAGGGATTCCCACAGGCAGCTGGATGAAGAGGAGATTTCATCTGGGGTCTGAGGTGGTACACCAGGAATGGCTGGATAGCTTTCCAGGAAGAGAAGATCTGTCTAAGCTTTTGTACATAGCTCCAGGAAGTTGTTCTCAGTTTAACAGTTCCTTGGGCATCCCATGTATCCCTCATCCCCATCCAAGTTCAAATCCCCTAAGAAAATTAAAAAAAAAAAACCAAGCTCAAGGACTGTTTTTGGTCTTTGTAGTGCAAGGCTGGAAGGAAATGTATCTTGCCTGGCTGTGCAGAACTAGGTGGATTAAATCTTCAGCAACTCCTAAGTGGGTAGTGCTACACAAGGAAGGATGACTCTGATGTAAGGGCCACATTGATGGGGACCCTAGTATAAGGAGAGGAACCTGATGGGGATGACTTTTTTGGCCGTCACATATTTATAAAAATGTATGGTGTGACCCTCGTACAGAAAAGTTTGCAGACTCCTGCTCCAGGACATAAAGCATGTTACTGGCAGGATCATTAAAAAAAAGGTAAATAAAAGACAACAAATGTGGTCAGCACATCTAAGGACTGGTATTCTGCAATATATTACATTTTCCGTTACATTTAATTTGGTTATAAACATTGGGGCTGACTTGGTGTCAACAGTAAACTCAGAGATGGTCTGAAGATGCAGTCATCTGTAACCGCATATAAAAACCCCAACCACATGGTTTCCTTCCACTGTGGGGTCTGGCAGATGGAATGTGTGTCTATGGGAGGGGGGGGATCATCACAGCGTATTACACAGAGGCTGAGAGCTCTGGAACCATTCAGTTACATTGGCCTATGAGGCTACAGGCTGGATGAAATTGCTTTCAAGGACGTCTGGGAGAAGGATAAAAGAAAAAGTCTTATCCTCCGATAATATAAACCGGATAAACTTCCATTCAAGAAGGCCGACTGGCTGCTGGATGCAAATACGGCTAACCAATCAAAAATATCTGATGCAGGCAAACACTTGGCTAGGCACTATTTGAAGACTTTCGAATTGAAAGACTACAGAACAGAAGATTCATAATTGTAGGAAATCTAAAATCCATTCTGTGCTTATGGTGTTCTGTGTCTCTTGATGGGTATATGGGTGGAAATGTAAAAACGGACATTTAATCTCTGTTTTACCCTCTCTAGTATCGCCTTCCTTCCCCCCCAAACATCATGCTAGTGACATTTTTTTTTTAAATAAAACCTTTCCAATTCATTATATACCTTATTTTTGGATCAGTGACATCAGCACTGGGTCTCAGTGTTTCTCTATGCAATGCAGGCAGATAAGGGCTGGTGATAGGGGCCAGCAGGGTGCTGTATATAGCTTCTTGAAAACATCACAACACCCTGCCTCACTATTCCTGATTCCAAAAGCCCTGATGTAAGCAGCGGGCTGGCTCATGGGAAGAGTTAACCCAATTCATGGGTAGGTGACAGTCTGGAGGAGTGGGCGCTCTTAGGCAGACTGTATTTACATGCAGACCACCCCCATGTGATACTGAGCCTCCACGATTAAGAACTAAAGTCCAGTGAATGAAAGGGACAGTCAGGTTGAGGAGGAAAGAGCTAGATGGTGCTGGATGTCCTTCAGCCTGGAGATGAGGAGGGCTCTATCAGGCTTGCTGCAGCTTCTAATGCACATTGTGAGAAGTTCAGTGTTCAGTGGAATCAGAGTAAGGAATTTCAGTCCAGGAGAAGAGCCGGTACAACTGTTCCAAACTGAAGGGAAGGCTGATGGTCAGTTAAAATTTTGCTCCAGTTTGAGGCTTGGGTAGGTAATACAGCGGTAGGTGTCTTCATGAGAACAGAACTCATTTGCCATCTTAAACATGAGGAGATGAAAGAATCTCATATGTGAGTAGAGGAACTAATCTCAAATGTGAGTAGAGGAACGAATCTCAAATGTGAGAAGAGGAACGAATCTCAAATGTGAGAAGAGGAACGAATCTCAAATGTGAGAAGAGGAACGAATCTCAAATGTGAGAAGAGGAAAGAATCTCAAATGTGAGAAGAGGAAAGAATCTCAAATGTGAGAAGAGGAAAGAATCTCAAATGCGAGAAGAGGAAAGAATCTCAAATGCGAGAAGAGGAAAGAATCTCAAATGCGAGAAGAGGAAAGAATCTCAAATGCGAGAAGAGGAACAAATCTCAAATGTGAGAAGAGGAACGAATCTCAAATGTGAGAAGAGGAAAGAATCTCAAATGTGAGAAGAGGAAAGAATCTCAAATGTGAGAAGAGGAAAGAATCTCAAATGTGAGAAGAGGAAAGAATCTCAAATGTGAGAAGAGGAAAGAATCTCAAATGCGAGAAGAGGAAAGAATCTCAAATGTGGGAGAGGAACAAATCTCAAATGCGAGAAGAGGAAAGAATCTCATATGTGAGTAGAGGAAAGAATCTCATATGTGAGTAGAAGGAAGACTCTCATATGTGAGTAAAAGACTCTCATACGTGAATAGAGGAAAGACTCTCAAATGGGAGAAGAGGAAAGAATTTCATACCCGAGTAAAGAATCTCAGATGCGAGAAGAGGGAAGAGTCTCATATGCAAGAAGAAAATCTCAAATGTGAGAAGAGTAAAGAATCTCATGTGTGAGAAGAGTAAATAATCTCATGTGTGAGAAGAGGAAAGAATCTCATGTGTGAGTAGACAAAAGAGTTTCATATGAAAGAAGAGGAAGGAACTTCATGTGTGAGAAGAGGAAAGAATCTCAAAATGTGTGAGAAGAGGAAAGAACTTCATGTCAGTAGAGTAAAGCACCTCATATGTGAGTAAAGGAAAGGATCTCATACGTGAGTAGAGGAATGAACTTCATTCATACGTGAGTAGAGGAAAGAACTTCATACGTGAGTAGAGAAATGAACTTCATACGTGAGTAGAGGAATGAACTTCATACGTGAGTAGAGGAATGAACTTCATACGTGAGTAGAGAGAATGAACTTCATACGTGAGTAGAGGAATGAACTTCATACGTAGAGGAATGAACTTCATACGTGAGTAGAGGAATGAACTTCATACGTGAGTAGAGGAATGAACTTCATACGAGTGAGTAGAGGAATGAACTTCATACGTGAGTAGAGGAATGAACTTCATACGTGAGTAGAGG